TGTGCGCACGTATGTGCACACACACACACATACACACACACGCACACGTACGCAAGCCTGGTACTCCTTTTTTTTCATTATCATGAAAATACCGTACAGAGGGGTTACCATTACATGGGCAAGGTAATGAGTACATTTCTTATCAAGCCTTGTTGCCTCCTCCTTTGTTTCCCCTTCCCATCCCTTCCCATCTCCTTCCTCCCATCCCCTCACCCCTGCTCGCCACACCCCCACCAAAGTTGTAAAGTTCATTTTTGATATAACATCTTGTACATCTCATAGTTACAATGGGTCCGCCTGTATCCCTATTTAAACAATTTATTTTTTCCCTTCCCCTCCACAAAGTATACCAACATCAAATACAGTGAAAACAGGGGTTATACTGTGGGAGGGACTGGTACTCTTCTTATATACAGTTTACCATCATCTGCTCACTAATCTAGCTATTGTAGTAAGCATTGTCCAGTATCTGCAGGGCCTGCTCTGCAGAGTCGATTCTCAGACAATTGCTGTTGGCCCATGTAAGTCTATAAGGATACACAGTCATACAGTAGTGATTTTGGTCTTTTCCAACCTTAACCAATTCTGCTTTAAAACAGGAAGCAGCCAGGCACTGATGACTCATGCTTGTAATCCTAGCTACTCAGAGTGTTGAAATCTAAGGATTGCGGTTCAAAGTCTGTCAGACTCTTTATCTCCAATTAACTAGCACGAAGCCCAAAGTAGAGATATGGCTCAGTGGTAGAGTGCCAATCTTGAGTGAAAAAAGCCAAGTGAGTGCAAGACCCTGAGTTCAGTCCCCAATACTGGTGCCAAAAAAACATAAAAATAAAACAAGAAACATTTAATATAATTTTATTGTTATTATTAAGGAGTTATAATTTCATAAGCCAGGTATGGAGGACAAGAAGCATTTTTTAAGTTAAGAAAAAGTAATTGTGTGCCCCAGTGCCAATGGCTCACACCTGTAATCCTAGCTACTCAAGAGGCTAAGATCTGAGGATCTTGGTTTGAAGCCAGCCTGGGCAGGAAAGTCTGTAAGATTCTTATCTCCAACTAAGCATCAAAAAGCCAGAATCTGAGCTTTACCTTATGTGGTAGAGCACTAGCCCTGAGCAAAAAAGTTCAAGGACAGCCCCAAGCCTTGAGTTTAAGCCCCAGGACTGGCACCAAAAAAAATGTGTATGGGGGAGAGGGGGGAAGGGGGTAAGTGTATTTGAACTTAGCTTGCCCCCCCCCATTTGAACCAGTAGAAATTTCAAAGAATATAGAAAAGGTTATGGGAGTAGAGGAGGAGTAAACAAGTAAATCAACTTGCCTGGCCTGTTTTTTTTTGTTGTTGTTGTTGTTGTTAAGTACTCAGTAATATGATCATTTGTAATAAATAAGGTAGCACTACACCCTTTGGGAAATTCTAGTACTCTATGTCTTTAATTGTGACTACTTTGTTCAGGACATGTAGGCAGCTCCATTCCAGTTAGAGAAACCTGATCAAATTTCCTGCCTTCCTATCTTATTTGTATTCCTGTGAAAAGCCCAACCAGTTGCTTTTAAACCAGTTTGACTGCTGGTTAAAGGTTAATAAGCTAGTAGTGAGAGGCATCCGGAGTAAATTGTCTCTAACACTCTCTGCTGCTCCTGGCCCAGGGTACTAGGCCTCTTAAACCCCAGAAGCAGCCAATTTTGTAGTCTTTTCATACACAAAATTGTATTAATATCAACAGGGATACAGATGGATGCACTGTAATAAACAGTAACCACTTGAGAAAAGCCTTTATTGACTCTCCAGTAAATAATGCACATTTTAAAGGATCTAACTATGCATTTACATAATGTGCTATAATTTTTTTATTGTGTCAACTGCTCACACACCCATCCATAAGAGCTGTTTTTCTTCATCAAAAATTTGGATTCATCCCTTTCCTCCTGCATTCCATGAGCATCACACCAGATTCACAACAGTAGTTTGTCTGCTGTAGGATCGGATCTGGACATCTCAAAATACATTGAATGAATTTACTGCTTGATTGATTCAACCTCAGTGACTCTTTATGAAATGTAACATTGAAAAGAAAAAAGAAAAAAAATCTTACAGTGAGAACATCCAGTTCAAGAAATTCAAGATCAAGAAAATTAAGATCTAGAGAAGAAAGCAGAAAGTTAGACATGGAAGAAGTCTTAACACTGAGCTTCAATGAGCCCCATTGTCCAGTTGAAAAGGAATAACAGGTTTTCCAGAAAAATGACATATATTGAATAAGAATGAACAAGCCTTTATGATGTCTGTAACACAATTATTTTCTCCTTGAAGAAACTAAAGCTCAGGTTCTTGAGTGATTTGCATGAAGTTCCATAGTGAACTGCTGGCTGAATCAGAAACTCCCCAGCAAGAAAAAGGATGACCCTATAAATGCCGATTCAGCAGTTGCCTAATTTGACACTACAAGCTTAGATGATTTCCTGGAATTAATTAAAAATTAATTGAGACTAATAAATCAGTCATTATAGAATTACTTCCTTATAGTACCATATAGTCTGGGGTTTTATTGAACTATGTTGTAAGGAAAAAGTGAACAGCAAGTATTAGTAAAAAAAACTTTTTTAAAAAGAAAGTGTAAATTCAAATTGTTAGTAATTTCCTGGTCAGCCTTCTGTTTGTTCCAATTGTGTTTTCTCCCTTTGGTAAAAGGTGAGGAATTTGTCACCACTATTCTTTATTTAACTATCAGTCATCACTTTCTCTGAGCATCTGAGGCAATACCACTTCCTCCTCAAGATCAGACCATCAGTGCTTTTGACAATGAGGTGCCACCCTTTGTACTGCACATGAATCAAAAGTTGTCCGTCATTTTGTTAAAGCCCAGTACATTCCCAGCCTACATGTAGAAACCTAACTACTACATTCAAGGTTTTATATTAAGGTTTCTGGCTACCAATGAGGATGCCTGTATCCTGTTAGATGAAAAAAAAAATCTCTTTAGTTTTTTAAATGCCAGCAGCACCATTTCCAGAGTAAGCACTGGCCATTTTACTTTTTTAGCTTCTGGGTTTTAACTCAAAGACAATAATGGATTCCAAAATGTATTATTCATTATATGCAGTCTTAACATTTATCCATTTTTCTACAAGTTCCCTGGCTCTTTAACAGGTGGAGAAACCAAGTTTTTCTTCACCATGTTTATGGTTACCTTCTTAATTTCTGTACCACTCATTTATTCAATCATTTATTGTGCAGTATTTATTGAATAGCAGACAGTTCTGGGTATATGGCCACAAACAATTCAGTGGATATAAAAGCTGTTTACTGATAAGGGAATGACCGAGAGAAGGGTCAGGTAACAAAAAATTCTGATTTTAAGTCCATGCTCGTCAATTAATAGGCAACTACTCTTTTTAACAGCCTTAGCTATACATATGGGATAGTGGTAAAAAAAAAAGATAGCCTGTCATACTTTGAATTCTCTTCAGCACTATGAGTCAGTCATTCTTGTATTTGGAAAGTGTTATTCTCCAAAAATGTGGCCATTCCTGTATTTTTCTTAGTAGAAAAACTTTCAGTTTAAAGAATTAAACTAAAAACAAAAAAATATAAGGAAAGATTCATTTACTTATCTCCCCTAAATGAGAAAGTTTTGTCTGGCTATTGTTAAAAAATGCAAATTAGAATCATGGTGTGGCTTGGTTTGAGCGCTTCATTCCTGGACATGGGCTGTATATATCCCCAGCCTTTCTATTATCTTTCCAATTCATGGCCAGAAATTATCTTAGATCCTGGCACTGTTGGCCCATGTCTGTAATCTTAGCAGCTCAGGAGGCTGAGATCTAAAGGTGGCAATTCAAAGCCAACCCAGGCAGGAATGACCATGAGACTCCTATCTCCAATTAACCACCCAGCAAAAGCCAGAAATGGAGTTGGAACTCAAGCGGAGCACTAGTCTTCAGCAAACACACTCAGGGACATTGCCCTGAGCTAAAGTTCCAGGACCAACACACACACAAAATTATTAGAAAAATTATTGTGCCATCTCATACAAGTTTTTAATATAATTTTATTATTATTAAGGTGTTATATGAAGGGGTTACCATTTTATAAGTGCAGTAATGAGTACATTTCTTCTCTTGAACAATGGAACCCCTTCATTCGTGTTCCCCCAGTTGCCCCTTCCCACCCTGGTACAAATAACACAGGTCATTTTCCAGATAGTGTATACTGAATAGCATGATCATATACGCTTTTGAATCTGATGTCATCTTTTTGTACAAATTATATTTATCAGGGATCAGGTGCAATAGTCTTTTATCGGGTTTTGTGGACAGAGGACTGACCTTTTCTCAGGGGTCACTGCCTACACAATTCATGGATTCCTCTGCTCTGACATTTATACATTTCTGAACTTGGCTTTGAAATGGCAAGCCAATTTAAAAAAATAAAAAACGAGTGCAACATAAACCTTCATGTAAAGTGAAGCCCCCAAATTGTATGGGTTCATTAAGTGATCATTTACTACACACTTCAAAAAAATTCATCCGGAATTAGTCTCTAGAAATTTCCTTGAAAGGGGTATAAGAGCCTTAACAATGAATTATTGTCTGTGGATAGCTCTCAATGAAAGGGAATCCATATGTGCAAACTAGAATTTGTCAAATGTAATGTCAGTTAAATCAGGTCTAATCTACCAAATACATTTTTTATTGCTTGCTTCATTAAAAAGGCTCTTAAAGTAATGAATAATCTTCATCTTCACCAAGTATTATTAATGCCTTTATAACTCATGCCCACTGAAAATAGAAAGACAGCTTGAAACTCTACCCTAATCTAACCTCCATGTTTGTCTTAGATCCTATAGAAAGAGAATACATCAGACCTATCCAGTGTTAAATTCAGTCACATGAGCCATGCCCTGAATTGGGCCAGGAGAAGTTAAAAAGGAGGCTGAAGATAGTTCAGCTGGACAAACAGGTCTTTCTCTCTGTAATTCTTGTCTTTTCTTTTCCTACAGCAAGTCCACACGCGACACCATCGACTCTCCATTTTCCAACATCACCCATTATCCAGCAGCCTGGGCCTTATTTCTCGCACCCAGCCATCCGCTACCACCCTCAGGAGACGCTGAAAGAGTTTGTCCAACTTGTCTGCCCTGATGCTGGTCAGCAGGCTGGACAGGTGGGGTTCCTCAATGTAAGGAAACCTCTTTATTTTTTAAAAAATTTCTTTAAAATCCTAACCGAATGTAAAAATAACAAGAGGAGACCTTATGACCATGTGACATTGTGTTCTAATGTCGTGCTGACTGACTGCAGGCAAATGTCATATTTATTCTAGATTGTGGGAAAGTTAACTTGCTCTAAGAATGATTGGCTGGAGTTTCAAAACAGTGTTTGTGTTAAGTTTTCAACTGTCAAGTTTATGGATATAAATCATCTTGAGGGTGAACCATATAACTTTAGTTTTGTGGGCTGATAATTCCACCTCCTGCATTCTAACCCCAGGACTCAAACAGTTAACAAAATAGAAAGACTAAATGATTTTAAATAATGGTTTGGGGTGGTGACAAGAGGTAGGGGGCAGAGGAGGACAGATGTTTCAGATCAACCAAGTTGATATATTTTTTTAAATACAGTCTTCTAACACTTTAGATCAAGTTGACCAGTACTTGAACTCAAGATGCTAGAAGCATAGTTTATTATGGTTTGTTATTTCTGCAAGTAGTTATCTTTTCCACTTATCTTTGCATAAAACTCAACCATATTCAGTAACTTCAAATGATTGTTTTCTTTCTTTTCCTCAAACCAAATAATCACAATTTGAAAAAGCATCCCAAATGTAAAAGTGATTTTTCAAAATCACAAGTTTTATTACAAATGTAGAACTAGATGTGTACACTGGATAGCCACATCTCAAGGTCAATAATAATAATAATAAATAACCATCAACATAAAGCCAAATTTGGTTTTCCCTTTCTTGTAATAACTGTGCATGAAACCACAGATTAGCCATAATTATTGCTGCCCAGTTTGGGATATTATGTCACACTCTTTTATCACTGGCTTCTTCCTCTGCAGAAATACCTGATTCTGCATATCTGAGCCAGAACAGGCAGCTTTGACTAATGGCTGGTGATATGTTAGCAGATACATTTCTGTCTAGACAACAAATCAATATGGTGCCTTTTTTTTCCCAGTGTGCTTGTGTATTCATTTGCTTGGCTTATTCTAAAGCATTCACTTACAGACTTTTAGCCTACTCAGAAATAGCACACGGGCAAGTTTGCTGGCAGGAACTCACAGCATTCTGATTGTCAGACAAGATAGTCTTTGAGGAACAATGCTAAATATATCAGTGAATGCTGAGGGCAGAGCAAGACTACCTCTGCAGAATCATTAGGCTTATGCCTAAAGTCTGGGGCCCCAGAATCTCATTTAGCAGAATTTTGATTTAGGATCCAGCTTACGTATGAGCTGTTTCTGTGAACAGTGTGTCACTGGAGTCTGGACATGCAGTCAGAAGGGCCACTTTGGAAACCATGATATCACGTGAACTCATCACCCAAGTCAAGCATCTGCCTTCCAAACACCGAATTTTTTTTCATTTAATAGTTTTGACATCATCCTATATACCTGTGGGAAGTTCCTGGTTTTTGTATTTTGATCAAAATTTTATCGAGCTTGAGACAGGTCTCTTCATGGAGACCATTTTGGAAATTTTGAAAATAAAACATCTTAATCAGCTGGCATTTGGTTGTCTTAAAAAATCAAGTGACCAAATAAATTTGATTCTTGTGGCATATGTTCACCAAATTAGGTCAAAATTTAAAGTGATCTTTTCACCTAGCAGAATTATGAAATTAGCTAAATTCTAAAGTTTCAATGCCTAGTGGTATATAGTATGTGAAAAAAATATTTAGGTTCACTGAACACATTTTTTAAATGTTATATAAGGTTGAATTTGAAAAATATATATATCAAATGTATATTTAGGAAACGATCTTAATTGTATAAATGTACATGGCTGAATAATACCTTCATTCATAAACACTTAAATTTAAAATATTTAATAATTGTGATAATGAAAATAGCAATTAACACAGAACCAAGACATATCTGGCAAAAGGTTACTTGGGTGACAATTCCAGAGTGAAGATGGACAAGTCATTTTATGGAGACAAATGTGAAAGAGGGCAATATAGTTTAGGACTCAGTGATTGTAGGCTCCTAAGCCCATCTGATGGGCTTATGAACAAATTTAATCGGTAAAGAAACATCACAATTTACATAGCAGGTGCCTAATGCATCTTTCGTTTTCAGAAGCAGCTAATGACTGATGTCTTCTTTCTTCTTTCTCTTGTGTGTGTTTTGTTTCTTCCCCTCATTCTCACAGCCCAACGGGAGCAGTCAAGGCAAGGTGCACAACCCATTCCTTCCCACCCCAATGTTGCCCCCACCACCACCACCACCGATGGCCAGGCCTGTACCCCTGCCGGTGCCAGACACAAAGCCTCCAACCACATCAACAGAAGGAGGGGCAGCCTCCCCCACCTCACCAAGTAAGTATGGCTGAGACAAGGTGCTGGTCACTTATGGAGCTCTGTGCACTTGAATATACACCTAAGATTTGTCCCTCACTGAATAGCCTCTGGCAACACACACACACACACACACACACACACACACACACACACACACACACACACACACACACACACACACACACACGATGGTTAAAGTATGAATTTCCTAGCCCAAGCCAGAGTCAAAGTAGCCACTGTAACTACACCATATGTAGAAATAGCTGACAGGGTGGAAATGATTGTATAACTGCATGCTCAAGTCTAAGATTAGCCAGGAACCAGTGGCTTATGTAGTCCTAACTACTTAGGAGGCTGAGAATTGCAGTTCTAAGCCAGCCCAAGCAGGAACGTCTGTGAGTCTTATCTCCAATTAACCACCAAAAAGCCGTAAGTGGAACTATAACTCAAGTGGTAGAGCATTAGCCTTGAGTGAAAAAGCTAAGGGACAGTGCCGAAGCCCTGTGTTCAAGCTCCAGTACCAAACAAAAAGAAAAGAAAAGAACTACAAACTAATATGTTTTATGTATTATTTGAGTAGCTTTGAATAGTTATCCCCATGATCATCAAAGAACATCCACTTGAGCAAATTATTAGCAAAAATTTCTGAATTTTTTTTTATGTAGCCATGCCTTCCAGGAACTTGTAGTCCAAGAAAAAATATACTCGAGGGGATATAAAAGCTATATACCTCACGCATCCAATAGGGAAAAAGTGTTTAGATCTAAGTTGTTGACTCAAAGGTGCATGTGTTGATCACTGCCAGTGACAAGGAGAGCCTGGCAGGCTAGAGTAGTTGCCCTGGCAGTTGCATAGCTGGGAAAAGGAAAATGAGGGCAGATTTGCATGGAAAGAGAGAAGAACTCTTGGCTCTTCTCTGAATAGTCTTGGAATATTTCATCAGAAAATATACAATTTCAAAACCTTTCTAGATAAAGGGAATGATTACTTGATGAACTAGAGAATAAACAATTTTCTAGATAATCCTGATATCTTAAAGATGGCTGGGACTAGAAATAGCTTAAACACACAAATGTGGCTTTCATTAATGCCTAGAAAAATGACAAGAAGAGTGATGGCTGCAGTTCCCAGGTGATGGATGTTCTAGCTGTGATAGATAGTGTGATGAGCACCTTTCCCTAATTGCTTTAAAGATGGGTTGATGTGTATGAAAGAATAGGAACTGTGACATGGTCCCAAGCAGAGCCTAACGGGGTCTCCTCTCAGAGGGATCAGGATAAGTGTTAAGGTCAAGAACTTGAACAGCAGAAATAGGAAGAGAGAGGAACGACATAGCATTAGGATTAGGCAACTACTTAGATAACTATGAAGAATAAAGATTTCTGGCCTCCCAGCTTTCTCACATTGGATATTAGAATCATAATACTACTGCATTAGGAGAAAAGACCTAGGAAAGAGGAAAGATAAATCTCTATTCAGATCGTGTTCATTGAGTGTGATTCTGAGAAAGCTCCTGAATCCAAAATGCCCAAAATTTCTCATGGACATGCATCTATCTAATATTTGTGTCTTTGAATATGTGCAGAAGTGGATGACATTGTATGAGAATTTAGTACCTTTAACAGCAACCAAAAAAAAAAGGGTTAGGGAAAAACCTGCCTGTCAGTAAAAGGAAGCTCAGTTCAGCACTTGTCAACAGGAAAAAATCCCCAGTATCACCCAGGTGTGATAGTACATAGGCATCCAACATTCACAACACTTAGCAGGCAGAAGCAAAAGTATCAAAAGTTTGAGGCCAGCCGGGGTTACATAGCAAGCGCAAGGGCAGTCTGGGCTACACAGAGGGACACCATCTTTTAAAAAAACAGAAAGACATGAGTGTCCAATGACAAGCTGAGCTTGACTTGTGGATCATGGAAGCTCCACTGAGATAAACGGTTTCAGAGAAGAGGCTCAGTGGGTTTCCTTTTAGTGTGGATCTGCTAACAAGTCAGAGAAACAAAGTAGTTTACCGACTCTACCTATCAGCTATCAGCTTTCACATCTCTGCAACCACATTCTTATTGTGCCCTATACTCCATCAGGATACCATCTTCTTGTTCCTCTTCCTGCTGAATGTATGCAGGACACTGCCAGAACCCTTTAAAGGGTATAGTAATAGCTACCTTACTACCAGTGTCTCATGTTTTGTAGTGAGCTTGCCAGTAATGAAGATGAAACTCTTGAGAAGTGAAAATAGCATGGTACGGTTATTAAATCTAAAGAATGGAACAGAGGGGTCTCAAATGCCCAGCTTTCCAGCCTGCTAGCCATGTATGTCTTTCTCTGAAGCAGTTTCTTCATCTGTAATATGTAGATGATAATACCTACCTGACAGGACTCGAGGAAATCAGTCCCCAATTAGCAGCCCCACCAAATACATTGGAGCATTGTATTATCTGCCCAAATGCCTGCCCTAAATTGTGTATAGATTTGGCAGAAGTGACTCCACTACTAAATTAAGTTTATGCCTTTGGTCCATAGTCTACTCCATAGACTGAAGCAAATGCCCTGTACAGGAAGATCCCTGCTTTGTTAAATTATTATTGTTATTATTATTATTATTATCTTTAGTTGTACAAAGAAGTTGCCATTCAACAAAGCAATTTATGAATCCAGTGCATCTTGGTCAATGTCACCCCTTTTAACATTCTCACCCATTCCCTCTCAACCCACCCCTTCCCTTGCTTTCCTTATTTTTGTAGGATATGCACTACATTTTTTTTAACTACATTCCCCCCCCATACATACCTTCTTCTCTTCACTCATCTGCCCCCTCCCCTTGGCCCCTCCCTCACCCCTTTCAAGTTCTGGAGCATTTTGTCAGCACACTGAGAAGAAAGCAGGAGTAGCTCTTGGCAAAACTAGCTTATGTTAGTGATTAAAGATTTGAGGAGAAAAGGAGACCATCAGAAGAGATGAAATAGGTTTGATATGGGTAATTTGATGTCTACTGTTTGGATCATAGGATGCCAGGAACATAGACAATAGAGAATCTTCTACTGATGGAAGAGAAAAGGTTTTTGTCATCCTAAATATTGGCCATGTGGGTAGGCTTTTCAAGAAAGAATATGCTGGATTCAGAGTGATACATTGCTTTCCAGAAACATACTGCTTATTACATTTTCTGCTAAGAGGACAGTGATAGGCTGGGGATGCTATGATTTGTAGCATTAGAGAAGCTTTTCAAATTAAAGATCTCAAAGCATACCGGTCTATGTTGGGAGGAGATTTAAGTCCCCTACTCCTCCATGCCCCAACTTCTGAAACAGTTGATAAATAAAAATATAAGACAAACCAGGTGTCAACTCCCTTATCCGCTAGCAGGAATAAAAGCCCAGGCTCCCAGATCGCCTGTTAGGAGGAAGTGGGGAGACAGCTGTGCTGTTCTGTGCTGTGCTATGTGCTGTGCTGTGCTGTGCTGTGCTGTGTGAGACAAAAGTCCAAGGCAACATTTTTAATATTCCCTTATAATGAAATGCAAATGGTTGTCAGCTTAGAGCAGACTATCTGTTTTTTAACTAAATCAATTGCCTCTGGCACTAATACTAAACTTTGCAGCTGTGGCCAGAAACGCGGGTGTAATGCAAATGATGGGGGGAGATCTATAAAATAAATACATTTTAATAGGAAAAATCCTACCCCCATGCCCTGAAAGTATGAGGAAGTGGAAGTGGAGAAGAAGTTGAATAACTTTCATGTTGGTGATGTGTTCCGAGACAGACTGATCTCTGTAGACAGGGTATAGTGATAAACTTGAGGTTCAAGTGAGAGAAGTTCCCTTCTCATTGACTGCCTTTATGGGTTCCCAACTCTAGAGAAAAAAAGCCCTTCCTTCTTCCATCCTTCCATTCTTTTTCCTTCCTTCCTTCTCTTTTCCTCTCTTCCTTTCCTTTTCATCCCTCCCTTTCTTCTTCCCTCTCTTCTTTCCTCCTTTCTCATCTCCCTCCCTCTTTTTTTCCTTCACTTCCTTTCATTCCCTTTCTTCCCCCCCATCCTCGCTTCCTTTCTTCTGCACTCATTTATTGAGCATCAGCTATGTGCCAAGCCCACTTCCAGGTTTTAACAGAAAAAAATTAAAATCCTGACCTAGAGAGGCAAGAGGTAAGCCAATCAGAGCAGTAAGTGTGAAGAATAAGGAAAAAAAGCATAGTAGGAGGAGGGAGAACTGTGGACAGCCTTGTGAGAAGGAGAAGTTAGAGCAGGTCGTGGAGGGTGGGAGGGGGGTAGAGGCAGAGACTGGCGAGTGGAGGCGCAGTTAGTACTGAGGCAGCCTGGCTGGCAGTTTGAGAAAAGTATGGCCAGTGGGAGAATGGAAGGAAGTAGGAGGTGCCATCAGGGGAGGTGTTGAGCAGGTGATTGGCAGTGTTCATACCAAAGGACTTTCTAGGCCAGTGTAAGGACTTCCATGGCCTCCTCATGAGACCAAGAACAGAAGATTCAGGCTATCTAGCTTTGAACAGCAACATTGGCAGGCCCTGTTGAAAGTAGACTGCCAAGGGCAACCTTGAAAGCAGGGAGAGCAGTTATGAAGCTGTTCTGTTCAATAAATATAATGTGTCTGCTACCTGCCACACACCGTTTCAAGCCTGAGAATTACAAAAGTGGAAGAAAAAAAAAAACTGCCCTGGTGCAGCTTGTACTCTATCAGAAGAGGACAAGTGACAATCAAAATATAAGTACATTAAGAAGTGAGGGATCTGCAGGTACAGTGTAGAAAGCTGAACTGAGAGGAGGAGGGGAGGGGAGGGGCAAACGGGAACTATCACCATCACCCAGGCAAGAATCTGAAGGCAAGGGCAGTGGGGTGGTGAGAAAGAGACAGGATCCAGATACTTTTGGAAGGCAGAGCTAACAAACGTTGCCGATGTCTTTGATATGGGTTGAAAAAAGAGGAGATAAATCAATGATGACTACCTAGGTTTTTGACCTGAGCATCTGGAAGGATGGAATTGCCATTGACTGAGCTCAGGAATGGA